CACAAAATTTATATTTAATGAAAACTGTTCGCTATGACCTTACATTATATACATATACATATAATGAAAATTTCACACATGGGTCGCTCATATTATATGTATATAATCGTTCAACAAACCATCGTCACATTAAACTGCAAATAAAGAGGTTCCGTGGTGACAAACTTTTACTCGCTTTACCTTCCCTGTGAAGATAGGAAAACCTTTTATTTATGTACAATAGAGAATTCCCCACGGGTCACTAATGGAATATATCTGTATATATAAAGTTGCTTAACAACTGCCAATCTATTTTCTATGTCGACATTTAAGAATTTATATATAAATATTACGGTTGCTGTAAATGCCGTTATACATAGAGTGTGTTTTTCTTTCATTATTTTTTTTATTTATTCGCAGTTCTATTTTTGTATCTATTGTTCTGTTTATTTTCTTATTGCTATACTTCTTGTTCTATTTTGTTATTCCTTTGTTTTTTGTTTCAATTTCGCCTTCGTCGATTACAAAAAATATTAGACCTGATTACGCATTGTTACCGTATTCAAACCTATTCTTTGATGATTTCTATATACTGATTGGGATATATGAAAGTCGTTAACACGAAGGCCTAAGTATGATCTACTGATATTATATCTATATGATGTTTGTTATTATTCCATGTGTTGACAGACTCAGACACCATTGTCAGACCTAATTAAATTGCCATCCATGCCAAACGTAGTGTACCATCGGTGCATATTTGGGCGTATGACAGTTAATTTTGACAAAACTAAATTAGTAGTTTCCTCTGTTATAAGTTTAGAAATATACGCCAGTTCAAATTAAGTAATTACAATTCGGGAGCTGTTAATGATTCTATATATCTCGGTATCATGTTCAATTATAATGGATAAACCAATTTCTAAAACAACATACGTTTGAAAAGCAAATAAGTTAAATTTTTCAATTCAAATTAAACGCGACTTTTTCGACCGTCTAGTTTATTCTATCATATGGCAGTGAGATATAGGCTTTCAGATATAGGCTTTTAAAATGTTTCAATTTCGCCTTCGTCGATTACAAAAAATATTAGACCTGATTAACAGATCTTTTTTGACCAAATTTACGCATTGTTACCGTATTCAAACCTGTTCTTTGATGATTTCTATATACTGATTGGGATATATGAAAGTCGTTAACACGAAGGATAAGTATGATCTACTGATATTATATCTATATGATGTTTGTTATTATTCCATGTGTTGACACCATTGTCAGACCTAATTTAATTGCCATCCATGCCAAACGTAGTGTACCATCGGTGCATAATTGGGCGTATGACAGTTAATTTTGACAAAACAATATTATTAGTTTCCTCTATTGTAAGTTTAGAAATATACGCCAGTTCAAATTAAGTAATTACAATTCGGGAGCTGTTAATGATTCTATATATCTCGGTATCATGTTCAATTATAATGGATAAACCAATTTCTAAAACAACATACGTTTGAAAAGCAAATAAGTTAAATTTTTCAATTCAAATTAAACGCGACTTTATCGACCGTCTAGTTTATTCTATCATATGGCAGTGAGATATAGGCTTTCAGAATTGTGATCAGATTGAGGTTTCTAATTCACCTTTATCATATCGTTTAGACTACGAATAGAAAAGTGCGGCAACAATGAGTATGAATGTGGGTTACAATAATTAAATCTATGCTGATCAATATATATTCGAAAATATGATATATATTTAATAAACTGTTTTAGTGACGTATATTATAATAAATTATGTTTAAGAAACAAAATTATTATAACTTTGCTCGGCATGGGAAGATATATCAATCGTGAAGTGGCACAACGTAATAACATAAAAGACATTGCTGCGATAATCATAGATTACCTATATCCGATATTTCTGATACAGAAATGAAATGTGTGCAATTTAAGGCCAGAGTAGCAAATATATAGGGCGAACACGGTAAAAATGATCTCACTTTTCAATGTTGAAAATGAATATATGTGTCGTGCCTAGCAAAGTTTGTCAGTTATTTGAATGTTGACATAATGAGACTTGTAAATGTATATGCTCTGGGATATTGCGTAGACCTGATTCATTTTTGATTGAAATCCGTGAATATTATTGACCTAGTTTGCATATTAATTAACCAACTTTCGACAAATATCTCAACTACTCATCAGATTCAATAAAACGTGGTATGTAAATGCTCAGAGAATTAGCCATATAAATGTTCATTTTAGAAATAAATGTTGTGCTTACCAATTACCTAATTTGCATAATTAACCAATTTATTGGTGCTCCACAGCGAACTTGAGAACCACTCATCACATTTTAATAAAATTTGTAAATACAGTATTTCTTACTATTTTTGGCACTTTTCAAGCCTTCTCACTTTTTTTTCTCAAGAACTGTATCACAGATTTAAATGAAATAGAAAGATATTCTGGGATAATCCGCAGACTTGCTTAGTTTTTAGTTGAAATAATGCGTATTAATGACCCTATTTGCATATTAATTACCCAATTGTAAACCTTTTCAGGGATATCGTTAGTTGTGTGAAAAATGTTCAACTTCAATAATACTACAGATAAATAAATAATTTCATAATTATAAAAAAAATGCATTATTTACAAATAATGAAAACTGCTTGTCATGAGCTTACATTATTATACATATATACATGAGAATTGCACTCACGGGTTGCTCACAATTAATCATCAAAAAAACGCACTTTTTTGCAAATAAAGTGGTGACAAACTCTATTACTTGAAACAAATTATTCGTTATATGTTAAGAAAAATGTTAGCTGTAAATGTATTCCACTACTAAAAATACTGTTGTGCATTCTGTCATAGCAATGATTGTCAGGCCTACACGTATTGTTTTATTTAGGTCAATGTACAAGACGTGTAGATTTTATAACTCAATAACTAAAGTTGGTTGTGCCATAATTAGTATATATATGTTTTGATCATCCCTTGAATAAATATGTGTTCAAGGTTTATGAATAATGTAATTAGTTTTTAAGATTCATTTTTTGTATTTTGCAATGATACATGGGCAGTGCAAGTTTTGTATTCTGCTAACAGTATAGGTCCAAAATGTTGTAAAAAGACACATTATTCAAGTCCCGATTGATTACTGTCGTTGGTGGCGTGCTTGAGGGCCGGAAACACGCTTTGCCACAGGTGACATTTTACATCTGAATCCGAAGGATTACACATGTTTCAAATACTCTATATTACACATAGTTTTTTATTTTATTTGTTTATCGATTGTGTAGAAATATATCAGTTCGCAAAAATTCATCAAAATGTGAGAAATATTCACGAAAACGTTGTCAAACTAAAAAAAAGTAGGTCGGTTCTTGAGCGCAACCGTGTGAAAGAGCCGTGCCAGCACTTTCCGTGGGCTGTTCAGCATGCCTGAATATCATTATCAATGTAATTTTATCGAAACGACCAAAATAAATCGCAAAAGACAAAGGAAAATAAACATTTTCAGGCAAAGTGCGGTCTTTTGACTATTTTTTACTATTGCTAAGAAATTTCAAGCGCTTGCGTACGCGCGCGTTCAGAATAGAATAAATGTTCAAGAATTCGCCTGTAACAGAGAATGGTTCATCGCGTTTGGCCCATGATTTTAGAAATGAAAAAGTAAAATATTGAAGGAAGCTAGGACACAAATCTATAATAGAGCATGTTATACCATGTATATGCTAGGTTTATGTGGGAACTTGCCCATCGTGCTGTAAGCATGCATGTCTAGTTACGTAAATTCATGAAATTTCATCATAAACCCAAAGAATTGTTTTTTCTGGAAACCAATCCTCCAATACGCGATTATACTTTTTAGGAACCTGTTTGAACACTCACCGATTATTTCCTATGAGACTGAAAGACATCATTACACCAGACAAAAAACTTCTTTTGATTTTTCTTCCAATTAGATTCTGAATTGTAAAGTTACTGTTACTTGTGTATCTACAGACTTATATGCAGTTGCAAATATAACAATACAGTTACCCATGACTGAAGGCAGTCAGTAAATGTCAATGTAGCAACAAGGAAATTGAATACATTATTGATTAATTATGTTGCGCATAACATTAATTATATTGCGCATAAACAGTCAGCCAATGGCGTCGAATAACAGTATATCAGTTATAATTCGAAAAAAATACACCTAAAACTTTGCCTTGTTAACTGTATTTGTATTCAGAAATCATAGCTTGTACTTAATGTATTTTCCACCAGGGTTTTAACAATGGCAATACCAGACATGTTATAAAACACGTGGACAATTGTTCAGTGCTACGATTTGTAACCATTCAACATTATGCATAAATGTGATTATTGTTATTAATTAGCATCTACGACCGGCTAAATCATTGTCTGAGCTGGTAATCAGAATTACATTTCTGGATGAAATACATGGTTCACTTTTCATGAAAATGGAGTGTATATTGCACATTATTACATGTTTTGTGTATGTCATTCAGTAATGTTCATGCCCGAACAATTCCATAAGCAGTACATCCGATAAACGTCTCCGGCGACTGATAATAAGAATGCCCTGCTTCCATGTTAATACACATCAGCTATCTCACCAAGAAGCGATGGCACATGTCTGTAAACGTGTAATAATCCAATGTCAGGATTAAGTCACGTGACGTATTGGACATCCTTACTTGTTATAGAATGTAGTAATTTCTACATTTATTATGTACATTTTCTGCGTGACTAATATTCTTGGCATAATTAAAAAATGTCACGCAAATGATATATAAAAGAATCACGATTCGAACAGGTGTTATGACGCATGCATTTCTGCCTACAGCTCCGAATCACTGTTGTATATACTAACTCCGTAATAACATGACATGCCGACGGTTGAACTATAAACATATAATACAATGAATGGCTGTCAGTTCAATGTATTAATTAGTCCTCTGCACATGGATTTCAGAAATGTCAGTATATAGCAGATTTTCGAAGTTTCACATAATGATACAGCTATTACGTTGTAAACTGCCTCTCATTCTGGTGGTGGATGGCCTATCTCTGGCATCGCTTATCAACCTCACCACTTCGCCGAACAAAGATACTATGTGCCAGTTGTACTTAGCCGAACATTCGACGTAACCCGATTTCCAATTCTTCCTAACAATGTGGGCAATATCTCTCTTTGATAGTTCAGTACATTTACCAAGATCACATTTATTCGCGGCGACAACTATCGGTAATTCATGACCATTACACTCGCGGTAGTCCAGTATCTGCTCACGGAGATCTTTCACATGCTGGAAGCTGTCCCCGATCGAAACATCGAATACAATAATAAACGCCGCAGCATCCGTGATATCGTTCGAATATGACTGAAAGTCCACCCAGTCGTAGAAGCTTCTCTTTTTGAAATATTGCAGTGGAGTTGAATCGATAATGTTCAGTTGGTAAAGATGTTGATTTGCTAAAACAACGGACGTGTATGTAGATGTGGACTTGGTTGGGAAATGCTGGCGGGTGAATATACAATCCTTATATTGTTGGATGATAGAGCTTTTTCCTACTGCAGGCGCGCCTAGTACTGCAATGTTGATTGTTTGCATTGTGGATCTGGGGCCAGTGTATATATAAACGATTAATACAACGTCAATGTCACGCTGAACCGAGTGCTCAAATACAGATATTGTTTCAACTACCATGTGCATTCAATCGCTAATGATATATATATCCAATACGATCGCAGTGTCCCACACTTGCAAATGGATTGTGTCCAACCTACGACGTTTCTGTAACGAAGCGAGCGTGCGTTTCAGCAAAGCCCTTCTAACCAGGGTAGTGTAGAAGTAGTTAAGGTGACCAATCAACGGCAGTATCCCTAGGTGTGTTGAAAAAACACAAGTGAATTGGAATGTTACTATTATTATGATGTCGTCATTGTAATTCTGCTGCATATATTTCGGAATTGAAACATTCAGCGCTTACACACGCAACTTACAGTCACGGAAATTGTGCAAAATACCACACACATTCAATTGGTTCGATACCTCTATTCAAATGCCTCGTAATCTGTGGATTTGAGGATTGAAGTTAATCCCTCCACGGAATGCAATCCAATGAACTAACTGGAACGATCTAAAAACGTGATCAACGGCGGCATTGACAAATGAAATGTACAATGTAATCAAATTTCGTTTTTTTCGGAGTCGTCATATAATGAAAGAAACATTATTACTAGGCTTTAGTGGAATGTATAACTGTGTATTTTGTCTGTGCGCTCAATTGCGTGCCTCGCCTCCAGTTATGTTACTCGAGTCCCTGTAAAGTTAATTAAATCCAATGTGGAAATAAATGCGGACAGTAGTGCGTGATGTACGAAACCTTCTCATGCTGAAAATAAAAAGATATATATGACGTTTTCGGTTATGGTCGCAGTTCATACTTTTTGCTATCATATTATACTTTTGGACTTTCCTACATCACTGCTTGTATCCGAACTATTTAAATAGCGTCATTTTCGGAAAATTGTTGTATATTTTAAATTATGAAATTTCATAACAATACCAACTTGATTTGTATTTTATGCACCGGAATGATACTCTAAATAATCAAAAGGGAAGTAAGTGTCAATGATTTTGTTTTCAACTCTTTCTCGAGGAATTACAATACATTGAGGATACATCTCATGAGAGATCATACAAATATACGGTTTCAAATTTGATATCATGTATATCCCATTCATTCGTTGTTATGTGGCTTCTGAGAACTGAACATTAACACAGCAATCGTAATTTATGAGCGCATAGTCAGGATATTGTGGAACGTAATAGGACATCCGCATAAAATATCGCCGCTCGTGAGCACCGTTTAACGACAGATTACCCTACCTGTAATTTGAATCCAAGATTATATTTCGGTTCCGGGGATGCATCATTAACAAGATTACCACAACTCCCCATTTTTTTTGCGCAGCGAACTTGAGGTTGGGGAGAATTTGAAATTACAGGTTAAAGTCAAGTTTTATAACATACGCGCGTTTTGATTAACATCTAAAACTAATAGAAATGTTCAAATGAATATAATTTTTAATAATAATTCAAGAAATATTGCATGAAACCACCAATATATGTTCGTTTCACATACTATCAAGAATATTTGTGTACTCGACAAATTCCCAAACCCCACAACATGATTGGGCAGATAGACTCAAATGGACGGCCCAGCTTCATAAAAACCTCGAGAAATATGTCATAATGACAATGATGAGAATCAATTATACTATGCACTGCTCATTTTTGAAACATCGCGTTCTCATTGATGGATTGGTACATCCAGCAGCTCTGTTTTCGCATGTCGTTGCTCGTGAATCTTCGATGCGTAACTAAAATGCAAACGTCGACAACGCACTTACCACACCGCTGATGTTTGCTTAAATAATAGATGCGTCCCTGTCTCGTCCATTATTTCGCACATCCCCTCTTATAACGTAATAATGGACAGTCCATCGTTCTTGATGTCTTAAATACCAGAGCTCGGATGCGTATGTTTGCTTTAAAAATTGGATCGACTTTTCCCCGTTTATTATTATGTATATCCCAGTCCTCGCTCTGTCTATCACTTAATAATGGGCATTGCTTCCACACTAAACACTAAGCCTACTTGTAGGATTGACGACTCGAAGAATTCGGAGTTTTCAATGTAACAAGTCAACATGTCATAGTGTTTTAGCACGACGTCTTATTACAATTTGATCTGAAATCCCAACGCTATGTTTGGGTAGATTTCTAAATATTCTAGATAAATTAAATTAATTTTATAGATTTGGTGTGCTTTAAGACTGAATTCCAAAAATGGGTCAGTTATTTAAGTATGGTCTTAACTCGTGGTTCAAGGACAGAAAAAAGTGACTGACGCTTTACTGACATATCCATAAAAATACAACCTTGCCCGTACATGTAAAATATATTGTGTTGGTTTGCGGGAAGTCGTTGTCTGGCATTTAAAACAATCAATAAACAGTGATACGTCTTCGTCTTAGCTAATCACTTTTTTTATCGATACATTTTTCAAATTAGAAATTCCCAGTATATATCATAATAAGTGACAGTGCATTTACAAGTTCAAGAACACGTATACTGTAGACTACCAGTTCAACTGTAACAGTTTTAGTTCATTGTATGTTCATATCGATCCATTAGGATGTAGCGATATTGATTGTATCAGACACGTTAAAATCCTACGTCGTTGTACACATTATGTGACGTACATGTACAGCTGTTTGCAAGCTATAAATATATAACAAATGTAACAGATTACGTCACTAAGGACATAATAGTATTAATTCACGTCATAGTAATATTTTCATTACGACACCAAAGACTTGTGATAAATGTCACTGTGTATTCTGAACATTGCAGGTAATACTCCAAAGGAGACTATACATAATATGTGTATTACCTTACTCATCTGGTTAGTTCATTGCCAAGGTACATGGGGCTGGCAGGAAATCTAATCCCTGTAATAGAGAAAATGTGTGTTAGTATAGGTATGCAAATAAACACAATATAATTAAATGAAACTTCAAATACACAGTATATCTACATTATGCTGTTCGTAGAGACAATGTTTGGGATACAGCGTATACAGTATATGTTTTCAAATTTGCCGTGGCTTGAACTTGTACCCTCATTTGACATAGTGTGAATTAAAAAATACGCATCATAACACGAAATTAAAGATTAAGTAGTCAAAGTTCGACAGTCATATTTTTCTTACAAAACTGATTGAACTAAAACGAATCTAATTAACTATGTAGACTTCGTATTGCCATTGCAAGTGTAATATCCGGTTACTTCAAGCAGTTAACCACATTATAGTCACTGATAGTTCAAAGTGCTCTGCATATACCTTAATGTCGTAGGAGACTTATATTTCATTCCCGATAAGTTTAAATTAATAACACGATGTACATGTTCACACTCATGGATGAGGTTCAGACTGATTGAGAACTGAGTAGCAACCCTAAACACCATAATGTCCTGTGAAAATAACCGTATGTGTCCGTATGATATCATCGGATGCTTGGTCGTTTTTATTAATTTAAACAACTGAATCGTCTCAATGTATCCTTTACAAGAACAGCAGACGATCGAACTGATATCATTGAATACTGTCAGTACTTTTCAAAGTAGTGTTAATCTGAACAAAAATCAAGAGAGACTCCACATTATACATGATCGATATGATGTTCTGAATTACTGTCGATAATATACACTATTTTGAATGCATATTGCGTCGAACGGTAGCCACTTTACGTCATGCATCCGTCGCATTTCGATCGCTGTAATAGTTCTTTAATAGTCGTTGCTATGGTATGTTTGTCTCTTTCGTATAAATACAGATCAAACACTAATAACTTAAGTGACAGAGTTGTTGAAACGACAGTTATAAAACGAGTAGTCGTACATTTTGCTCGATATTGGATTTTTTATCGTAAAATGAAAACATTGATTTAGTGGCGTCTAATGAACTTTGGGGGAGTAGTGAATGTGTGTGTGTACTGTATCACTTCGTCAACATATAACATAGGAACACTGAACACAAATATTAAAACATACAACTATCCTTTTTCGCAATCTCTGCTTGGATATCATATACGTTATCAACAATACCAACCAGACAGACGGTTGTGGTCGCATTGGATATGGATAAACTATTATAAGTAAACTCGCACGCTGTGACTATTGATTAATAATCATTTTCCAGGGCACTTATTTATGTATATATCGTGCAATCTTGCATTTATAATATTTCTAAGACATGGTGAGATTAATATTTATTGAATTTATGCTCAGTATAATAAAGATGGATATATAGGTTATTTATTAATATATTAGTATATAAAATATACATATATTGTATTGCATTATTTACCAAAAAATATTAAAGCGTGTTATATTTGCAATATATGTATATATACATATTACATCAGTGGGTTTTCAATATGCGATTGTTAGTAATGGCGACCAGACTGATATTAAATTCTACCAAGGATGATTTATGCAGCATGGCAAAAATTACGTTGTTTTGCGACATGGGTAGTTCCCACTTACAGTTTGTATTAAATGACATATACTACAACTTGTTATTATGTATTTATTAGTTGCCCATGTGTGCATATATCATGTTCTATCAGGAGTTTGGTGCGGTGCTTTCAAGTCAGTCATGATGCAAATTGAATATAACATCTCAGATGTATTATTCATGTGTCTCTACCCAGGGCAGTGCATTTACATTCAGAATGAGTTATCCCTAGCACCGTTTTTGTTCACGCCCGAATATTGAGTGATAATATTATGGACGACTTACTAGAAAATACGTACGTGCTTTGAATTTGAATTATCCGATTACAGATTCGGGTTACCATGTCCTTAATAAACTAGCCTGATTTGTGATTGCAATAGCATATGAATTTACCACATAGACTATATATACTATTACTAGTATGTCTGGAAGCCTTTAAAATTGCGTTCGCGCATCTGTCTAAGTCGCACGTATAATTGCCATGATAACTTGCAATTAGATAACGCCACTTCGTAATGGATATATGGTCAGGGTATTCTAAGTTAAAACCTAGTACAATCTGTATAACCTGGTCACGAATGATATGACAACACAAAATCGATTATGGAGATTGGAGCAGGAGTTGCATATGCCAAGATTGCCGGTTGAAATCATTGTGCAGCTCAAAGAAGAACGTTTGTAGAATGCATTCAGTTATGGATTTGGCGATTGATGGAACATATATTAAGGGTCTGGAATACTGATGGATAGACATAAAAGTTCAATAGTTCATAGTTCAATCAAGCAATACAGAATACAATATTTATTTAACAGTATTTGGATGTAGCTATTTGTGTAACGTGCACATATATTTAGTAGCAACAATCAATATATTAGGATATATTTCCACCTTCATTTTTTTATTCATTGGAATACAATTATACGTGGCGAATGATGCTAACATTCACTGTGAATTTCTTTATCTAAAATCATTTAATTTTGTAGTAAACAGATAATGCCACAACTCAAATGCCTCATACAACGTCAAGGAATTACCAAGTAATATGGCCATGACCCTCAACTTTGACCATACATCATTGAATACATCATATTAACTGGAGAATCACAATAACGGTGCAAATAGTTGCAACATTCGTTCATATCACCTACCGTATAATATTTGTAATTTTCGTTCGCATGTGCGATCCGTCACAACTACAAAAACATATGGTATGTCCTATCCATTATAGAACCAATCCCACAATATAGTAATGTGTTTTTCTTTCATTTAGTTTTATGTATGTTCATTTATAACACGAGTTTACTAAAATAAAATGTTCACAATTCAGTACGATTTACTAACGGTACACATATCTCTCTGACAGGCATAGTACAGCTGTGGACAATATTGATTACATGTAGCTATCATGTCAGCGAAATGTCGCAATAAAAAATAAAGCTAATAATATGTATTGATTATTCTATTCAAAGCATGGTACAACGGCAATTGATACACAATCATTCGTATCAATGTGTTTTGGCATGTGTGTATCATGTTGTACAATGGCTATGTCAATGGCCAAATATCGGATCTGAATTCTGTCTTTCCCATGTTGTTTCATAAACTCTTAACGTTCGTTACAAAATATTAAAAACCTTATCTGCGCTGCATGCTATAAGTTGAATATACAGATAAACATCACTGACATATTTCTATTATACTATCGCGATGAAATACATAGCAGATATAGCGCACGCAGCATTGCGTATATAATACTCCTACCTGTCTACCGGCTGAGATGGTGACACAGCTACCGACCAGTTGTGAAGGATGTATCGGTATATGCAAATTACTGTGCACGTGATGTATGACGAATGTTATAAATTCCATCACCACAGAACATATATGACCTACAGATGTATTCGTCGTTATTGTTGTCCAATCACATAGGGAGATGGTTGCATGAATTGCCAATCATTATATATTCATTGTTGGTCGTGGTGGTTCTTTCCGTTTAGTTTTCCTATGTTTGGTACAGTGCAGTGGACATGTTTACTTAATTTGATTACCCAAGCTGTTGTTATTAAATCACGCCAAAATCAATTTCGCTATTAGCATAATTATAAGCTGCCGCAGACTGGAAGGTCGGTGTATCACATTGACGATTAATCAGCGTGAAATTTTACGCATTGTTGAGTGGATTGGTAATTATGTTTTGCTGTTACAGTATAGGCTTGAATAAAAAAAAAAGTGGCAGAACAAAACTATTGTGCAGGTATCTACTAATTAAATAGAACATACTCAGAACAAAAGTACCCTTTATATTGTAGCATATATACAATTATGAGTTAGACAACTCTGATTTAAATTAAAACTGAAAATAAATTTGTGAAGAGTTTTGTACAGAGCGATGCGGACAAGTCTATGAAAGCATGCATTGCTCATACTAAGGTCATTGATCTATATGTGCCAAGTTTTAATCAATTAAACGCGCATGCTGCTGACACACTCCATGCGATTACGATAGCGTGTGTAATTTATTGATTCAGGGTCGTTTCAGGATCATTTACTGTTAAATAAATCACTCCACTATCTGTCACTCCCTATCTATAATCATTGTGTTATACACATACGTTTTTTAGGACAGCTCCCGATGCTTATGGTGCAATATACGAAATATGTGACGTCATGTGTAGTGTCCGAAATGACTGACGATTCCAGAAAAAATCATGAATTGATTGCTCAGTAAAAAAAATACAGCTGCGAACTGCTTTCATAAACACACTGTTTACGCATGGCTAACGTTCATCAATCAAAAATAGTGCAATAACCCGTTATGTTTCGAGTATGTAAATCCCGATCAATAATAACTACACATTCTGGTTAAATTGGAAGAAGCAATAAAGCTGCATTTCTTAAATAGTTCAAAATTCATCCACGAATCCTTGTATCAATAATTATTTTCGGAGTATATCGTTTTACATCGTATGCCTAGTACATATAGCTCATTGTGTGCGCTTTATAACACGGACAGCGAAGCACTGCCATCTTCAGCATATCAGCACTGTACATGGAATGAATGGTCTAGACATATGAACAATTATAACACGGAGATAATATAACGACGGTGAATTGACGTCACAACTTCTCATTACAGTCAAAAATGCTTAAATCCACGAATAATACCAGATGTATGTTGTCAGCACAATATACAAATCATTGAAGATAAGTATTACTGTGACATTTGTGTTGAAAGGTATAATCCGATTACAAAAGTCGCACTGCGATGCGGTGATTCTGCTTGTATTTTCTGATCGCATACGTGTGCCCAGATGACACTGATGGTTGAGTTACTTTAGATCGCAACATTTACGTCATCTCCATAATTGTCTGATGAATCGTCTTGCCCTTATTTCGGTGACGGCAATTTGTTTTTTTACAACTATGTTATTTGTTTTATATTTCTTGAAATCCAAGAGAAAATGATGAATAAATAACTCAACTTTTCTTTACAGATACTTTTCATTACAAATTGGTTCTATATGTAGTAGCAAAAAGTACGTTCCCTTTGAGTTAGATCAATATCGACCAGACGCATTATGAGTATAAATCAATAGTCTGAGAAAAACAAAATATCAAAGCAAACCGACAGGAAACAGATCATATAATGAGGCATAGATACAGGTTCGTGTGCGTGCCGGGTCTGAAACACTAACGTCCTTGCCATGTTTTTCTTCTTCTTTTATTTTAAGACTTGTTTTCAAACTGCATTTCTTAAATGTGAAAAAAAACTGAAACAGATGTAGATTTTGTAATTCTCTTTCACAAACAGATTGACACATGTAATTCGAATATACTTAATAATAACAGGTTAATAAATGTTAATTATTAATGATAATGTTTAGTCATGGCCCATGTTTTGCTTCCCTACAAATATATATATATATATATATATATGAATATTTTTGTATGGAAGCAAAACATGGCCCATGACTAAACATCTGGAAAAAGTCCTGAACCTTTACGCAAATGCTTAGTCGCATTCAAAATCAGCTGAAGGCAGTGTACTACCAGAAAGTAACTAAGTATACAAACACCTCAAACAAGTAACATATTTATAAAGATAACCGGAATAAGATTAAACTTGACTGTCCACCTAATCCGACATAAAGACTAGGTTGCTTCAAAGCAAATATTGTGATCACCAAGAATCTCAGCTATCATGATTAGTTATCTCAAGACACAAGCCTTGGAAATGCTGACGAGTTCAGGAAATGTTCAGGGAACGGGAGATTGTGGCACGCCATGACTGTTATGTACTTCTCTGCTTGATTGAGATTTGGCACATCTGTAGATTTATTAATTCATTTTAAGTAATGCAAAACGCACACATAATCAGAATAGTTCTTGTAGGATAATACGGTGTGTTATATTATATTGCTATTTTTACAGTAACCCAAAGTACTTCATATTGTTTATTGATAAAGAATCATTATTCAGCTACAAAAAATCATATATACAAGCCTCATCACAGGATTATATATTTAGAATTTATTTTGGTGCATAAATTACGAATGACTAAGCTAGCTTCAGGCATTGTTACTGTAGTGTTGTGCACTGTTAGCGTATATTTAATATATATAAAAACAGCTTAGATGTTTACAACGTCACGTATACCTTATTAACTTTTCATTACTATAACACCTTATAAATTATTCAACCTCTTCAAATATTTTTTCAATAAAAAATTTGTAATGATACATACACCTCTTAAACCTAAACATATTGTTAAGCCACGTGCGTCTCGTTTTATCCCCATATTTAATATGTTTGTTTTTTAATTCTACTAGACTAACAGAGGAATACAAAACCTTTGTTTAGAGACAATTTACCAACATGGTGTAATTTTTTTAAAAAAAGTTGAGAACGGCTTAATTACGTAAACATTCACCCAGTGTAAATTTAACAGACGCTTACAACATGATTGTTATACTCTCAAATAAAGAGGTCTAACCCTTGTTTTTTGACAAATCACAATTCCCGTTATTTGTGTGCAACCTTGATGTAAGTCGTTTAATGTTTGTTTATTATGTTCCTCAATATTATATAATATGGAAAAATCGTAAGTCTATATATAGAATGATATACGTGAATGACTAAACAAGATCATTCATGAATACAGCCATATGTACATAATGATTGGAAGACCACTACAAAATTCCCTGTTTTTAATTTCCGTTCAAACAATTTTCCATTTTTTTGTTTCCTTAATTACCTATATTTCCTCCAATATGTGAAATTCAGTTCAGACTGAATTATTGTTTGGGGTGTGTTTAAGACAATGAAATGTCACATGGTTTGAAAATCACGAACGTCGCTGGTTTGTGTAATGTGACTTGCGTGTAATTGGCGTCGGCCATCTTTTCTTTCAAGATTGTTGACATCAGTCAACCCGTAACGTTGTCGTCGAATGCCTGTATTGCGTCTATTATATGAATCAACAATACGAAAAATAGACTTGGAAACAATAGAAGATTTTCCACTTTTTTACGAAGCACTAACTTGCCGCATTACTGCACTTGCTATGTTCAATTAAAATCCAGAAATTTCCTACTTTATTCCGGTTGAAACGCAGAGCACATACTCTATGTCGGAAGTTCAGTAGCACTACAATCCTGATCCATTCACCCAGAGCCTATAAAGGAGTACACGATGTTCCAGTTTACATGAATATATTTTTGCTACAGTCTAATGGATCTTTTTAATTTCCGAGCGATACTGCCGGAAATTTATATCTAGTCTAATTGTTTCCACCATATCCTATAGTAGAAAGTACTTTCACAGATTAGTATTATGTTCGAGGTCAGATACGTCAACTAGTTCCGCTCCAAATGTCATAAATAAATCCACAGAGAAATTGCATATAAGTGGAACCTAGCTGATTGCTCTTTTTTTCTTCAGCCACAAGATGCATTCGCTTTCCCACGTTTTTTTTAAGCTATTATCATGAACTTGTTGTTCAAACCATGAACAGCCGGTTACCATCAGATGGGTTAAGAAATAGTAAGTACTGCTACGGTAATATTCGGTTATGCTGCCTTGATTACCACCTGCTTTATGTTAATAGGAGTTACAAAATCGTTACGAATCATGAATAGACGTTTGATGTCCGAGAAAAACATCACAGAGATGAACACGCGGTAAACGAATTCTCTGTATGTCAAAGGCTAATTTGTAGCATCGTTAAGGTAACAAGATAACTGCATATAACGAGTACTGTCAGCATTAATGATATAAACTACGCCCATCTGCATACTGCCCAGATTAGTGGAATAAATTTAACATAGTACCACTCAGCTCACTTGAATAAATAGTGCATAGTTCTGGGGACAGTAGATGAATAATTATTAATAATTGCTGACAGATTTGTATTCTTTTTTAATATAGCAGAAAGTAGAATTTACGCCCGAATCATCTATGCAAATGCCCGGTGAAGATCTATTTGACGTTAGGTGAAACAACGATTCAAAATTTGTTGCTTAACACAAGTAGTATGATTGTCAAGTATAATGTGTTTCCAAGAGGAAACACTGTTGGTTGAGTGACGTAATGGTTTCATCGAATAAAGACGCATTTCACAATTGTATCATTTTTCATTAATATATTATATTAACGACAGAAATTACAAATAAAAGTAGGCAAACATTGCCTTAATATAACAAACTATTGCCTGACTGATGAATATCATTCTTATATAAACTATACATTATTTCAATATGCACATGTCATAAATTTAAAACTTTTAAAATTTCAGAAGGTAATTTTCTAATGTGAAAACCTCAAGTGTTATTGCTAAGTGGGTAAATGACATGTAATAAAATGTAGAGTGTCTGAAGTAGCAACACAACATTCCATGCACAACCTAAGCTGTTTAAAGTTAAATGTTTTTTACAGGAATAGGTTATAGTCGGTTCATATTCAGATAAGCCCACAAACTAATATTGAGATGTAGAGAAATTAAACCTATTTAACCAATAACTGAAAGTGCATTAGTAATAACGTAGAAATAACGTTATACCTTCTGAACAGTGTAAATGGTGCCCAAACAATAGTGAAATCGTACAGCTCTGAAATGAAATGAAAATAATGGCTATAATTATATACGATTTAAGATTTATACAATTTTAATATCAGCAGCAGTTGGGATGAATAATATGGTACGTGGAGTGAATAGCAATTGCGTAGTAAAGAATAGATTTAAAGATTTGGAAATTGTAATATATATCTGTATTAACCAGTGTTTTTGGTGGGTTTACATTTTTCAAAAACTGGGTGATAAACTAAAACATAGTCCTGAAGAATAGTACATGGGAATTTAAAAGAAATACAAATTTGTGATATTTTGCTAAACAAAAGATTCCATCTTATAAATGATACAAATAGGGGGGGACCTGAAATTATTTCCATGGGAACATCTCAATTAGTATTCCGTATAACGTTTAATGCTACTCTGGCAGACATTTAAAATTTGTCAAAACACCTAAAAACACACAGAATATTTGTTTTTCTTCGGTCCTAAAAGTAATCAGCAACATTTCAGGAAATACATGTATCAACAGTGTATTAGGTGCACCCGCCCTTAAAAAATAGCAATGTAAAAAAGCACCTAGTAATACATTGTGAAAACGTTGATGCATATATAGTATGAACCAACCATTTGGCATAAGTTAAATTCTGTATTCAAGGTTCTAGGGACAATAGTAGATGATGAGAAAGACTTCATCCTACTCAACCCTGCATCTAATTACACATATTCAATCCAACAGCGGAAACTAACACAATTTACACATTAATTGAATAACATCTTCTGTTGCAAGGTAATAATGAGGTCAGTCGTAATTGTATTCAAGTATCCTGATGTGAATTGTAAATTACTATCAGCCATAGCATACGCCATTTCAAGATAATTATAAAGCTATTTTTTTCTATGTCTTCAAATATTCCTCGCTAGGAGGTCTTGTCCTGCAAATAAAAGTGACAACAATATATATATACTGGCACAATTAAAAATTCTCAGGTTTATATAATTGCATAATAATAAAAACCATCAAAAAATTATAATTAGTAGGACTAAAAAATAGCGTTTTTCATAAATCACGCTTTTGAACATTTCAAGATAACAAGATAAGGTTCACCATATGAAAATACAGATATGTCTCAAGATGGCAGATTAAAATCTTGTGTTAAAGTATGAGAAAAGTACTGGTTCAGCAACATTATTAAAACAATCACTAGTTTGTTACTATTAATAGTTACTTTCTTCCTGAGGTATACTAGTATAAAATTAATTATAAGTTATTGGATGAAACAGAAATTTTAGACAAAACAGTTTGTATATGTGCCGTTCCTTGTTTATTCAGAAAATAGGAATAGGTATTCAAACTATAAATACAATTGTTAAAATGCACAATTTAAGAGTAACAACTGATTAAACAACACAGTTGTGTCTCATTCCCATATAAGCAGCAATACCTACCTTGATTCGACAAGTTTGGCCAAGGCTTCAGCCAGTTTAGAGCGGTCTACTTTTTGTGTAAATATTTCACCTGCGAAAACATAGAGTAGCTATTACATAAATGTGTGTAACAGTCTTTAAATAATACAAACATTTTGAGGGAAAAATACTGGTCACAACTATATGTATAATCAATTCGAACCAAAAATAGACAAGAACAATGAAGTCATCTTAGTTACCAAAAAATAATGTATTTAATCTCAGTGTCCCTTATAGAATCGTGTTCCAAGAACACGCAACATATCTTAGCTCTATTTGACAATACAAATAATACCCAGCTAGTTTCGCAACTTATACTACATGCAATGTATTAATGACATGGGTTTCTTGTAGAATAATATAAAAAATCACAAATAGTAGTACAGTAATATATCATATAAGCAAAACAAAATACTAGCTAGCCAATAATTGATATGAAGCTGGCAATTCCATCATTCACACAGTTCATCATTGGTATACATCTGCCCAATACAACGTTGTGTATGTGACAACATGTTTTAAGGAGCAGTTCTGGGTTTACCATCCTTGGTTAAATATATAACAAAATAATACATGTTTTTTGCTTTCAACATTAGGGTCTTTTTGTTGAAATGAATTTACTTGCTAATAGAGGTTAACATTTTCATATTTTTATTTTAATTATAATACCCTTGGCTATCAAAAAATTGAACATACATGCAGTGGTAGACTGAAAATAAATAAGTGTGTTTGTTTGCGTGTAGAATGTTCACGAGCAAGAGATATGGGAAAACAGGTTATTTATTTTCTAGATCAAAAATAACCAGAATTTCTTAACAAGAAAGAATCATGGTTGGTTGGTTGGTTAGTTTGTTTGTTTGTTTAAATAATACAAAAAATTGAAAACATTGTACATTTGTATTTCATGTATTGACTCCAATCTCAGATTATCATCTGATCACAGTGCTACACTTGGTCCCAATCGGCCAATGAGAACACAACATTTCAATAATGGCCAATATATAGTATTTTATAATGGAGAATAACACCATTCAATTTTGTTTCTGAAGATTCAAAAGAAGGTGGTTCAGTGAAAATTACGTTTCCAATGAAAGGAATTGTTGGTGATGTTGTCAAAGTCAGACAGCATATGTATTTTGTTGTGCATGTGCACAATAAGTTTTCTTATTACTTACCATTCCAATGTAATCTATGAAGCAACCTTTGCAGTAACTGGTCATCATTGTTATTTTGACAAGCAATTTGTACTGATAGACACAGTCTACTATCATCACCACTCTCATCTACAAAACAATATCCAACAAGATTATTGAAGTTGCATTTCCAAGTTTCTATCATATGTATAAAAACTATCCAGTAGATAGAAGCCTAAAGTACACAAATTCCCCGCAGGGATAATTTTACATTTTACATAGCATTTTACTTACTTTACCACCAGCTAATGTTGAACAATGGATGAAACTAACTGCCTAACTTTGGCCTTGGTTCGAAAAAATAACACCCTGAAGTGCCAATAAAATCTACACGTGCCCCCCAGTGACAAGTTTATTGTTTACAACTAAGGAATCTACAGGAGGCTGTAGTGAATTATCATGCAAGGTTGATGCATAGGGCACAGCACATCCATATCCTCTTAGTCCACCACCATAACACAAGCATCTTGCAAGCAAACACTAATTTAGTAAATCAACAATTGCATATGAGAGAAACAAAACAAAAAATATCAATTAATTTCAACAAGCAACAACTATCTGAAAATGGTGAGTCAGGCCATGATGTTATCAAACCCTTTAGAAAACTGATTTTTCATGTCAAAAGTGTCTGCTTCTAGTGGGTTAGAAGTATTCTGGTACATTTCTGGCTTTTTTTGGATGGCATCATAGATTCTGATAAAGTAAAGCAAATGACATTCTGCTGCTTAGCAAAGCAAGATCAGTTGAGTGGGTGCATCATTTTTTTGGCACAATTGTGTGGGAGAGTCATCACCTGCACAAGCGTCAGATGGCCATAGCATGTCATTGTTTACAAACAAGTGTCTACCCATGAGCCTTTGCGTTTTAGCGTGTTGTTATCGTCGTTTGGGACTCAATTCCTTCTTGTGCGCAGGTGACGACCCTCTCGCTTTAATTAATGCACTGATTTTGTAGTGCTCTCCTTGATAACCATTAATGAGGCTCTCAGATATTTAATTTGTGTGTTTGTTGTAATATAATCACATTATTATAAAGTTCTATCTATCAAACATCTTATAATAGGTAATTTCAGTCTTGTTGAAATTTTCTCTGTATTTCATGATTTTAAAAACTGCAAAGAACTGTGTTTTTACTTGTTTCTTCATATCGGATACCTGTATAAAGATAGTTTCAAATAAATTATGTCTGTCATAATCACTTTGTTTGTTTCTAACAAAAGGGAGGGTGGATTTTAGAAATATATGCAAATTTGGGTAGAAATTTACCTCCTGTATACTATACAATATGATGCAGTATGTGATTAGCCAATGATGGCAGTAAAAAAACAAAAGTAGTATTGCATGCCTTCTCACCTCTAGGGGGAAGTATACAATGTGCGATAACATCTCTTAGACAGGTTATACCAAGTTCGTTTTTTGTTCTTCTCTTTTCTGGAGGTTCTACTAAATGTCTGTTATCTAAGGATTCATTGCTAGAAATAGAAGTTTAATTGAAAAAAATATGAAGATGATTAATATGACATCATGTGAATTTGAGGCATCAATTGAATCGGCGACTACACGTTTGAATATTGCTAATTATGTTTAGTCAGTTTGTCTATATATTCATATGCATAACCATCCATCGATTATTTTCTTTTAAGTTTATTAATTTTAATAACAATTCTAAACTCAAAATTATGCCGCATGGTGGTGTAATATACAATATACAATACAATCGTATAGAAATATTTTGTATATTGTATGTACAAATGCACCTTAAACATAGATGTTTCAAAATTGATAAATTCATCTTTTCTACTACATGTATATAATATTAATCTTCCAAATCAATAAGTGACATAAACTTGTATGATATTATCATGTGAAATGTGAAATCATCTTACTTTTGAATTCTTCTTTTTCTCATGATAGGATTGTCTACAATAGCCAATGGTTTCAGTGTCAGCTTGGTTTCTGGAAGTCTTAGTTCCGTCAAATGTCTGGAATGGGCTTCTTTGGCAGCTTCAAATGAATTCTATATAAATATCAAGACAAATATAATCTCTTCTGTTATATTATATTTCATTTTATTCCAATATAATTTATTTTAAATCTATTCACTTTGAATTATTTTGTATTCTATTAAAATTGTAATAATTATAAAAAAAAATCACCTATAAACAAATCTAACAAGAGTCTTATAATAATCAGATTGTAAAGCTAAAAAAATAGATTTGTTTGTAGTCTTGAGATGTTCCAAAATCTGCTCTGATTCACATGCTTTTTTTTCCTTTCTGCAATATTTTGGCAGAAACTAAATACAAAAGTTGTGGCCAGGCTGATGGCTAGTTTTTTGGTTTTCTTTGTAAATTTCCGCTATAAAACTTTTGTATAAAGATGTACATTTGGGTATGTTATTTTCATTTCGGTGTATACAAATTTTTTCTGGTATGTGTTGTGATATGTCCTTAACCTTTTCGTCACCAGTTCACTCTTTTCATTACAAATTCACAAAATAGTCTCATTTATAGCCTGCACAGCGACAAAACTAGCCAAACATTTTGAGCAAAAACAGAAAATTGACTAAAATTTTGTCTGTTGGTTCCAAAATATTGAAAAATTTAGGAACAAATTTCAGAAAAATTTGGGCAAGCAAGTCTGGCGGTAAA